GAGAGAGGAGGAGCGATGAGGAGGAGGACGAGGACGAGGACGGGGAGGAGGAGGAGGAGGAGGAGGAGGAGGAGGCGGAGGAGGAGCCAGACGAGGAGAGGAGGACGAGGAGGAGGACGAGGAGCCTGAAAAGCGAAGACCCCTGCTGACGCTGCCCCTGGCGACTGCACCGAGGCAAGCGCGCTGGCCTGACGCCGGCGGGCCCCGCGCCGAGCTCCTGGGAGCGCCGGCGGCGGCCGCCGCCGCCGCGGCGCCGATGTGGAGGCCCAGAAGCCGGCGGGTGCTGGCCTGCCGCGACGACAGCGACAGCGACGACGACGACGACGACGACGACGACGACGACGACGACGACGGCGGCGGCGGCGGCGGCGGCGGCAGCGGCGGCGGCGGCGGCAGCGGCGACGACCGCGGCGGCCACGACTGCAGCGCTGCCCCTGCCGCGCGAAGACCGGGGGCGTCTCTCGCAGCTCTGGGGAGGGCATCCGGAGAGAGGGGGGACTCCCTGCGCCGTGCTCTCGCTGACCCCGTCGGCGGCGGGGTGACGATTCAATATTTTCTTTTAATTTTCCGCTCAGAGCAATTTAAACACGGGTGAAGTTTTTCAATTTTGTGCTCAAAACTTGCTTCTGGCGCCAAGCGAAATACGTGTGAGCGGTGTGCAAAATCGCCAACGTGACGACCGCCTCAGAGCTTGGTCAGGCTGCGGCCGGGTGAGGGGGCGGGTGGGGACAGCGGTCCAAGCTTTGCGAGGGGTGGGGGGAGTAGGGGGTTTGTGGAAGCTCCGAGAGGGGTGGGGAGGGGTAGCTTACCCCCTCTGGGGCCACTCTTGGGGCGTTCCTGGAGCTTTCTTAGGCCGCCCTGGAAGACTCTTGGGCCGTCTTAGGGCGTCTTGGGCCGTCTGGGCACCCTCTTGGGGGGGGTGAATTTTGTTTCGTCCGCTTCTGTTTCGTCCGCTTTTGTTTCGTCCGCTTTTGTTTCGTCCACTTTTGTTTCGTCCGCTTTTGTCTCGTCCGTCTTTCGTTTCGTCCGCTTTTGTTTCGTCCGATTTTGTTTCGTCCGCTTTCGTTTCGTCCGCTGTTGTTTCGCTCGCTTTTGTTTCGTCCGCTTCGATTTCGTCCGCTCTTGCTTTGCGCGATTCGTGTGGAAGCTGGGGGATGCAATCTGGATGAATTTAAACCGGGCGAATTAACACCGGATGAATCTAAACCGGGCGAATTTAAACCGGATGAATTCAAATTTGATGAATTCTCACGGGCGAATTGAAACCCAAGAAATGAAACGGGCGAATTAAAACCGGATGAATTGTAACCGGATGAATTTAAACCGCATGGATTTAAACGGGCGAATGAGAATTTGATGAATTTAAACCGGGCGAATCAAAACCGGATGGATTTAAACGGACGCATTAAAACCAAATGCATTTAAATTGGGCGAAATAAATCCGTATGAATTGAAGCCTGGCGAAATAAAACTGGATAATGGCAAATCTGGCAAATTAGAACCGGATGAATTGAACATGGTGTGTGGGTGAGAAGTTTTTATTCCCCAAACAGCTTGCTGAACGGGGTGCTGTTGTGATAGAAACTAACTCCAGCCGAGGGAAGGGGGAGCAGAGACATCCTCACAAAAATTGTATGGTTTTCTTTTCGCCGTTTCGCTTGAGACATCCTCACAACTCTCGTTTCTGAGTTGGCCGGGATTGGCCGTTTCGCCTGAGACATCCTCAAAAAGCTGCGATCCGGGACGCCGCGCGAGAGGTGGTCCGGCCCGTTTCGCTTGAGACATCCTCGAAACTCTGAGCCCCGAGGTGCCGTGCGAGAGGTGGTCCGGGCCGTTTCGCCTGAGACATCCTCGAAACTCTGAGCTCTGCGATGCCTTGCGCGAGGTGGTCCGGCCCGTTTCGCCTGAGACATCCTCGAAACTCTGACTTCGGAGATGCCGCGCGAGAGGTGGTCCGGCCCGTTTCGCCTGAGACATCCTCGAACTTCTGAGCTCTGAGATGCTCTGCGCGAGGTGGTCCGGCCCGTCTCGCCTGAGACATCCTTGCAACTCTGAGCTCTGAGATGCCCTGCGCAAGGTGGTCCGGCCTGTTTCGCACAAGACATTCTCGCAACTCTGAGCTCTCAGATGCTGCGCAAGAGGTGGTCCAGCCTGGGGGCCGAGAAGACCACATGTTACATATCCTCCATGGGACCCTGCGAGCCTCAGGAGGCCCCAGAGAGGTCCAGGAGGCCGCAGGACGCCCAGGACAGGCCCCAGGGGCCCCCAGGAGATTCCCAGGAGGCTCCCAGGAGGCCCCAGGAGGCCCTCTATCAGAACGTGTCAAGTTGATACACATCCGGTGTCGATTCGTTGATTTTTCCTGCTCTTGTGCCCCCCCTCCATTTTGAGGGGCCCAAGCGGCCACAGGTTAGATATCCCCCCTGGGAGCCCCAAGAGGCTTCAGGAAACCTCAGGTGGAGTTCAGGAGGCCACAGGAGGCCCAGGAGGAAGCTCCAGGAGGTCCCCAGGAGGCCCCAGGAGGCACCAGGAGGCCGCAGGACGCCCAGGACAGGCCCCAGGGGTCTCCAGGAGATTCCCAGGAGGCTCCCAGGAGGCCCCAGGAGGCCGCCTATCAGAACGTGTCAAGTTAATACACATCCGGTGTCGATTCGTTGATTTTTCCTGCTCTTGTGCCCCCCTCTCCATTTGGAGAGGCCCAAACGGCCACAGGTTACATGCCCCCCCTGGGAGCCCCAAGAGGCTTCAGGAAACCCCTTCACGAGGCCACAGGAGGCCCAGAAGGGAGCCCCAGGAGGTCCCCAGGAGGCCCCAAGAGGCACCAGGAGGCCCCCGCAACTCGGAGCTCTGAGACGCCGCGCTCGAGGTGGTCCGGCCCGTTTCGCCTGAGTCTTCCTCGCACCACGTTTCGTCCGAGACATCGTCGCAACTCTGGTCCGAGATGCCGCGCGCGAGGTGGTCCAGCCCGTTACGCTGGAGACATCCTCGCCACTCTAGGCTCCGAGATGCCGTTCGGGATGAAGAGGAGGTGGAGGAGGAGGAGGAGGAGGAGGAGGAGGAGGAGGAGAAGATGGAAGGGAGAAGGAGGAGGCGGATTATGTGCATGAGGGAGCAGGCAGGAGGAGGGGGAGGCCCCAGAGAGCTCCAGGAGGCCGCAGGACGCCCAGGACAGGCCCCAGGGGTCCCCAGGAGATTCCTAGGAGGCTCCCAGGAGGCCCCAGGAGGCCGCCTATCAGAACGTGTCAAGTTAATACACATCCGGTGTCGATTCGTTGATTTTCCCTGCTCTTGTGCCCCCCCCTCCTTTTGTTTGGAGAAGCCCAAACGGCCACAGGTTTGATATCCCCCCTGGGAGCCCCAAAAGGCTTCAGGAAACCCCAGGTGGAGTTCAGGACACCACAGGAGGCCCAGGAGGAAGCTCCAGGAGGTCCCAAGGAGGCCCCAAGAGGCACCAGGAGGCCCCCGCAACTCGGAGCTCTGAGACGCCGCGCTCGAAGTGGTCTGGCCCGTTTCGCCTGAGACTTCCTCGCAGCACGTTTGCCCGAGACATCGTCGCAACTCTGGGGTCCGAGATGCCGCGCGCGAGGTGGTCCAGCCCGTTACGCTGGAGACATCCTCGCAACTCTAGGCTCCGAGATGCCGTTCGGGATGAAGAGGAGATCGAGGAGGAGGAGGAGGAGGAGGAGGAGGAGAAGGAGATGGAAGGGAGAAGGAGGAGGCGGATGATGTGCATGAGGGAGCAGGTAGGAGGAGGGGGAGGAGGAGGAGGAGGAGGAAGAGGAGGAGGAGGAGGAGGAGGATGGAGAAGGAAGGGAGTTGCAGGAGAGGACCTAACGGGAAGCGGGTGCGATGTAGACTTGTCAAAACGTGTGCGAAATATTGTCTGGCCCGTTTCGTTTGAGACATCCTTCCAATACTGAGCTCCAAGATGTCGCTCGTGAGGTGGTCCGGCCCGTTTCGATTGAGCCATCCTCGCTATGCGAGGCTCGAAGATGTTGCGCGCGAGATGGTCTGGCCCATTCTGCCTGAGACGTTTCGTGCCACCCAGAGTTTGCAACCGATTTCGGGGGGGGAAAAAAACGGAAGACCCATGCCAACCCAAAAAACCCAATAACAAAAACCCAATGTAAATTTCATATTTCAGATCGCCTCATGTTTTTTTCACTTCGTTTCTGAAATCAATGGTTTGCCCTTTCTGGGCGCTTAGATAATATATAAAGAGTACAAGCACTTCTTGAAGGCAAGCGAGCGGCAGTGCGCGCCCCGAAATCCGGAGAGGGCCCGGCCCAGGCCGCGCTCCGGCAAATGTGCAGAGTCGGCGATCACCAACGCATGCATGCGCAAATTTGAATGAATGCGCGTGGGCGCCATCAACAATATAGGGCTATATTTATTCGCAACGGAAGCGACGGGGCACGATTTCTGAACCGAGCGCGAGGGAACTGTTGTTTCGATCAGCCACTTCGGAAGCATGTGGCACGACGCGCAAAGGACATGCAAGTTTGCGCGTATCGTTACAAAGTACAGGTGTTTGTTCAAACTACTTATTTCGGTTTTCGGTGTTGAAGGGCTGAAGTCCCGTAAGAAAATCACCCCGGTGCCACTACTTCTGGGGTCGCCACGGGGGCTCCTTCACGTGCGGGAAAAATGATATCTGAATATTGCCTACGCAGTTTTTCCTTGTCAACCTCATATCCTAAAACGCGTGCACTTCCCAAGCGCAAAGAAAAAACAAAAACACGCCATTGCACGGCGTGCGTTTGGGAGAGGCCCCAGCTGGGCCCCCCCCGGCTGAATGAGCTAGGCGGCGTTGAAATTCAGATTTTGCGCGACGCCGCTGTGAAACTAGCGGCGTCGCTAACTCCGCATCAGTGGTCCTTGTTCGCGGATTGCGTTCAGGCTGTTTCTGGGATTTCTGCGATTATCTTCCCTGCGTGCTTTTTCTTTGAGAACTATTGTTTTGGGATGGCGCAAACAGCGCGCGCATATCTATTTAAAAACTAAACGAATCCCCAGAGCGACGCTGGCACTTTTTCATTTTCGGCGTTTCGGCGGCGAGGGCGCGGCCCCACGCGCTCATCATACTCCCACTCAGCGCAACCTCCCTTCTTGGCCGCCTGCGTGGTGCACTCCTTCACGAGCACCTCCGCGACCTTCCGCTTGTCTGGGTCGTCCAGTCCCTGCGTGAAGTCCCTCCAGACCTGCTGCGCGCCCACATCGGGAGCAGGCGCGGTGGCTTGCGCTGGCCCTGCGGCCGAACTGGCCGCCGCGACCGCCTTCCGGGGGGGGGGGGGGCGCCCCCCCGCTGGCCCCGCCGCCGCGGCCCTGGCGCGGCCCTCGAGCAGCTCGTCCAGCACCCCGCAGAGCTTGGCCACCAGCACAGGCGCCTCAGCGCAGGCGGCCAGCGCCTCGCCAATCGCCTTGCGCAGCGCCGCCGAGGGGGGCTGCTGCGGGCCCGCTGCTGCCGCTGCCGCTGCCTCCTCTGCCTTCTTGGCGGCCTGGGCGGCCAACGCCTCCCTGGCCTTGGCGGCCGCCTCCTCCCGCTCGCGGCGCAGCTGCTCCAGCTTCGCCCCGAGCTCCGCCATCTCGCTGACGGCGCGGAGGGCGCGCTCCTTGGCCTGCTCCAGCAAACCCTCCGTCGTCTTGATAGTCTGGGCCTTCTCGTCGGCGAGCATCTGAGCTGCCCTGGCCTCCTTGACCTTGGACAGGTCACCCAACCCCTCCTGCGCGAGCCTCCTGGCCTACAGGATCTCACGCGTGGCCTTGGCGTCGAGCAGCTTGGCCGTGACCACGAACTGCTCCTCCGACATGCGCACCAGCTCGAATCTCGTCTCCTCGTCGATGCCCCCGCCTCCAGCACCACCTCCTCCAGCGCCACCTCCTGGACCAGCGGGACGATCGCCGCGCCGCCAAGGGGCCCACATGGGCGCAGCGGCAGCGGCGCGAGGGCCAGCACCACGAGGCGCGCCAAGTGGCGGTTGCTTGGGCCGCTGCCCCGTGCACCGCTGCACCCTGCACGCCGCCTTTTCCGCGAAGTTGTAGTACTGGCAGCGCGAGCAGTTCCACCCAGCCCGCCCGCGCGGCCTGCACCTCCAACGCGCCCTGCCGCCATGTCCCCCGCTGGAGACCCGTGATGGCCGTTGAACAGGTCCACGGCCCTGGCCAGGCCCGCGTGGAAACGCACCGAGCCGCCGCTTTTCCAGGCTCTGACCAGGTCGCATGCGCTGGCACGCAGGCGCCTGGCGCGCCGATGCCACGCCTCCTCCGAAGACGCGATGGTCCCGGCCCGAGGGGAGCTCGCGGCAGCTGCCTGCCGCACCCAAAGCTCTCGGGCCGAATGCACTGTGGGAAGAAGAGAAAGAAGAGGAGGAGGAGGAGGAGGAGGCGGAGGAGGAAAAGGAGGAGGAGGAAGAAGAGGAGGAAAAAGAGGCGGAGGAGGAAGGAAAACGAACCCTCTTAGCAAAACGCCCTTCCGTGAACACGACCCAGGACCAGACCCGGCGGGCGCAGGCCCGCATAAATACTGCGGCCTCATCACCAAGTCGATAACAAAAAGGCACTTCACGAATCGGTTTGGCAAGGTTCGGGGATGGACAAAGCCCCCTTTAGCAAAACGTTCTTTAGCAGTGGCAACGGCCTCGGGCCCAAACCTGGCGGGCGCAAGCCTGGAAAATGACGACCGCGGCGCCCTCCCGAGAACCGAAAACGGAGAACCCACTAATCGACGTATCAGGGTGGGGGTTCTGTCCACCCCCGAAGGGTGGGGGCTCCAACAACTTCCGATTCCCCTGACGCTTGGCGCCCATGACCGACACGAGGGCAGTGCCCGTGCATCGGCAGGTGGCGACCCCCGAACGGCATCCAAAGCCCGTGCTCTGGGCCTCAGCTCGTCCAGGGCGATCGTGCCGCCATCGCTGTGCACGAGCCTCGCCGGCCCTTGCGCGAGCTCAACCTCTGGAGCCCGCCCTCATGGGGCTGGCGCGGGTGAGATCCGAGGATCGAGCCGCATCGCCGATGCATCGGCGACGCCTGAATGTAGATCGCGCCGCCTCGCCGATGCGGCGCGAGCCTTCGCCCCCATCAGCTCTGGCCCCACTTGGGCGGCCTGGAGCCGCCCAGCGCTTCACCACGTGCTCACCGCCTGCGGTCTGCGGCCGGTCACCGCCTGCGGCGCACCGCCAGCGGTCTGCCTGCTCACCGTACGCTCACGCATGGCGGCGTGTATGAGGCTGCCTCAAACGTCACCCCAACTTCACGGCCTATATCCAGCCTTGAGCTCACATAGCTAGGGTAGAGAAGGGAGGAGGAGAAACAGAAGGATGAGGATGCTGATGGAAGCGCTACAGTTGACGCAGATCGCGCTACCCATGCTGCAATGCATCCTTTCGTCCCGAGCCCCGTCCAGATAAGACAGTACACATGCTTCTTGTTCCTTTGGCGAGCGCCAGGTGGAAAGATGGGAGTCCTAAGCTATGGGCCTGCATGGTAAGAGGCCGATCGGCTTTGAAACGCGCGTCGACGACAATCTACAGCTTCGGCTGCATCGCGTTGCAACACACTAGTTTGAGAGAAGCCAGCCTGCATGCATTCAGATGGTTGATGCGCGACGCCGACGAGAGAACGCAACGTTTGAACATGTGCCACCATCGTCTCGTGCATCTGTTGGCGAGACGTTAGAACTTCTGGGAACGCATGTGAGACAACCTCAAGCAACAACACGATTTTGAAAAGGAGCTGCTTTCCACCCGTGCAGCGTTCGGGTTTCAAGCTGCAAAACCCTGCACACTGCATCCAACGGGACAGAAATATTGAGATTGATATTGAGAGATTCGCAGAAAGAGAGAGAACTTGGTTGTGAAACTGACCCCCTTCACCTCCCGCTTCTTTCTTCCTGTCTGGGTCTCCAGAAGTTGGTCACACATGCACCCCTGGAGATCGTTAGGAGTCTGCGGAGGTCCCCGGACGGCCTACAGAGGCCTCTAGAGGCTTCAAACTAATTGTTTGTCACTGGGGAGTGGCCGCGAATCGTTCCGAAATGTGACGATTCACTCCACTGTTTGTGTACAACCGTTGCGAATGCATAGTGCATGGTCTGTACCCGTACTGTTTCGTGTTTGTGCGTGTGTTTTCTGTGTGCTGTTTAGTTATCAGGTGTTTCATGTAGGTTCGTACGATCTTTACTGTTGGCGTGCCACGCGCGCAGCGCGTTGTACGCATGGTGAAAGCACAAACGGTAACCGCATTGTGTGACAGTGCGTTCGGGTAAGCCCATAACGAGGCCCCGCCCAGAACCTCGGGCACGGGCCTGCTTGCGAAGGCACGGGCCCTGCTCTGGAAAGAGGGCCGTCGGCACGGGCCCCGGCCGCGTGCGCAAACGGTACGGCCACCCAAGCACGGGCTTGCGGTGGTAGTTCGGCGGCGAGGGCACGGGCCCCGGCCGCGAACGCAGCGGGCAGAACCGCCCAGGCACGGGCCTGTGGCGGTAGCTTTGCGGCGAGGGCACGGGCCCCGACCGCGAGCGCAGTTCACAGCAGCCACCCAGGCACGGGCCTGCGGGGTCTCAGCGGCGAAGGCACGGGCTCCGACCGCGCACGCGAAAGGAACAGCCACACAAGCACGGGCTTGCGATGCTCGTTCGGCGGCGAGGGCACGGGCCCCGACCGCGAACAGGAAGACAACGAAAGATGCAGCCACACAGGCACGGGCCTGCGGGGTTGGCGCTACGCCGTGGCGAGGGCACGGGCCCCGACCGCGGTCAGCGGCAGAGGCACGGGCCCCCGACCGAATGCATCGGCAGGTGGTGGTGGGTGTTTCATCCTGTATGAGCGGTCGCCATGCCGACTACGTATGTTCTTGACACATGTTCTGGAAGCCTGTGCGTAAAGCTGACAGGACGACGTCACTATCGTCGTCGCCATCGCCGTCGCCCACATCGCCGTCGCCGCCGTCTGAGCCGTCGCCGCTGCCGCCGTTGTGATCATCGCCGCCATCGCCGCCGCCGCCGTCGTCGACAGCGCGGCCGTCGCCGTCGTCTCCAGCGCCATCGTCGGCATCGTTCTTCGCCGTCACTGTCGCCGCCGTCATCGTTGTCGTCGTCGTCGTGGTCGTTGTCGTCATCGTCGCCGCCAAGAGCATAGCAACGCAATGCAATGCAAAAGCAATGTGCAACAACAATGAAACACATGGCGTGCTGCGGCATTACTACATGCGTGTCACCATCGACTGCGTCCTCGGGCGATACGGCGACGAGGCAAAAGGCCCCAGAGGGCAGACCCCGCTCGCCATCGAGATATGAAGCGGCGCGAAGTACATTTCGCAAGACATGGGGCAGGTTATTCCTGCTGCAAGAAGAAGCTGGGCAACTCCGACCCGATGGCGGGACGGTTCTTCCATGTAATAAGAAAAGAGCGGAATCAAGTTCCACAGTGTTGGCAATTTAACAACTCAAGCGAACCAGGGTGTGGGGCCGAAACCTACTCCACCGCAAACGGATGCCTTGTTGTCAGGTTCTACGGGGGAGAGGGATCCCGCGTCTACATGGATGGCCAACATTTTAGCAACACCGAAGCACTTGTACGAATCATGCATGTTATTTATGCATGTTATTGACGTGCATTCCTCGTGCATGTCCCTGATGACTGTGACTGATGCCAAGGTTTGGTATAATTCTGAGAACATGCTCTTGATATATGTTGTTGTGCGCTCTTGAGGTACGTTACAGGTAATTGCTACGTATACGGTTATGGTGTCTGTTCTTGATGTCGGTTGTTCGGTAGGATCATGGAATATAGTCAGAATGAGGGGGCTGAACCGAACGGTCATTCAATGTCCCTGGCTGCGTGGCTGAAGTGAAATTCCGCGATGCGGATTCCTGTTGTTGTTGTTGATGCTGCTGCTGTTGATGTTGTTGTTGTTGTTGAAGATTATTACTTCTAAAGAATAATTATTGTTGGGGCCCCTGGTGCGCGCCCCCCCCGCCGCGCCTAGGCCGCAGCCACATTTTCATCATTTTCGTGAGGAAGCCTCAGGCAAAACGATGTGTACCAGATCCGGTTGTTTTGTTGTCCCCCGCTTTCCCTTGCAAAAAACAAGCTAAAGTGGACATTTCTGGTTCTAACATAACCAAACTTCAAGAATCCCTTGCAAAAAAAACAAGGTAAAGTGGACATTCGCGCGCGCAAGACGAAATCCTTCCAAAACCTTGGTTTTCGTAGCGATTTTAACATAAAAACATCAAAAAAACCAATGGTTTTTCAAAAAAAATGTCAAAATTTCATCCCGCGCGCTCTTGCGGATTCGTAGGAAACCCAACACTTTTTAAACATTTCTGTCAAACGGGCTTTTGCTAGCAACTTTTTCGAACTTCTGCAACAACGGTTGCGCACCTGCCAGGGCCATCATCCCTGTCAAATAATACCATGCGGGACACATTCGTTTTTTCTTCGCGCGCGCACGCCGTCGTCGTCGGCCGCGGGGCCCTGAATAGTAGCCACGGTCGTCCGCATGCCACGAAGTGAAGTGTCCGAACGTCATAGGGCGGGAAGCTGGGTGTGGGTGGTGGCGAAGAGTCGTTTGGAAATTTGGTAGAGCTTGAACCGGCCCCCCCACAAAGTGGGGGTATTGCCCGCCTCCTATGAAAACCCTGGCACTGGTGAGAACGGAGTATCCCCACGTG